GGGCCAGCAGGGGTGGGCCACTCTGTTTGCCACTCCTTTCCAAAGCATTGCTGTGGATCCAGGAAGAAGCCAGGAAGAAGAGGCTAGGGCGTTTTCTTAGTCAGGACGGCCTGCACCCAGGGTGGGATGGGGTCAGATGGCTGGTCCCTCTGTCTGCACTGAGACCTGAACAGGGACTGTGCAGCTATGAGAAAGTCTGGAAGCGCCTTCCAGGCAGATAGAACAGCTGGGCCCAGGCAGGAGCCAGCCCCCAGGGGGAGGCGGCGGGATGCTGGGCCTGGCTGCCTTCTAGGCATGCCTTGGGAGGGTCCTCCAGTTTGAGAAGGTGCTCTGGCTGCTGGGAGGTGTGTACTGGACTCTATTTCTTTATTTTTGTGCTGCTGGGAGTCGGGCTAGGACCTCACATAGGCTAGGCCTGAGCTGCACCCCAACCTCGAGGCTGGGCTCTTCCGTGGCTGAATGGGGAGAGCAGGAGGGCAGTGAGGAAGGAGGGCAGACTCAAGGTGGCAGCTGGGTCGTCGCTAGAGTGGCTGCAGAGTGGTGGTGGCTGCCAAGGTGGGGAGGGCAGGGCTATGGCCAGGGCCCACGGGAGACCCTGTGGGGCCATCCCATCAGCAATTGGAGTTCTAGGGGYCCCATAGATGGGATCCAGGGCTGGGCCTGGGTGAGCTCATCTCCGGCGAGAGCGGAGGGGCAGGGCCTGAGGGGCACCACTCATGGGCCCTCCCTTCTCCTCTGCCAGGTCTTGGAGCTCTTGAAGGTGGCCTGGAAGAGGAGACTGATCTTCACAGTTGGAACGTCCAGCACCACGGGCGAGACTGACACCGTGGTGTGGAACGAGATCCACCACAAGACAGAGATGGACCGCAACGTGACAGGCCATGGCTACCCCGACCCCAACTACCTGCAGAATGTGCTGGCCGAGCTGGCCGCCCAGGGGGTGACCGAGGACTGCCTGGAGCAGCAGTGACCCACCAATCCCCCATGGCCACCTGGCAGCTGCCCAGCCCCATGGCTGCCCGGGCTGCCCCTGGGTGGCGGGCAGGAACGTGCCTTTGCTGAGAGGCCAGAACCTTTGTGGGGCACACGTATGCCAGGGTGCGAGGGGCCAGGCTTGTGCCTACCCTCCCCCTCCTAGTGGGGGAGTTCTGTGGGAGTCGGCAGCCCTGGGGCCTTGTCCTTGTGGGGGCCAAGATGCAGCTACCTCAGTGCAGGGACGGGCCCTAGGACTCTGGAGGACAGTCCTGGGCCCCAGCGCCCAGGCCTGGCGTGGGGTGAGTGTAGATCACCCCTCCCTTGGCTGGACAGGCGTGGGTTCTGAGTCAGCTTCTTATACCTCAGATTTTGTTTGCAATAAAGGCCTTGTAGCCAAAGTCCACAGGCTCTTAGTGTTTGTAGCGGATGCAAGTGTGTGAGGGGTGTCTGCCCCCCATGCACAGGCCCCATACATGTCCACTGTGCCAGGACGTCATGCGTACTGCTTGTTCAGCTCCCATCTGGTAAAGGGYGATCTGCAGGAGCTGGGGAGCCCGTGGCACCCTGCCCTGCACAGCCGCTCATCCACAGTGGCCCTGGTTTACAAAACACTGGTCAGGTGCTGCTGTCACTGGGTTATAGATGAGGACCCAGAGGGTCAAAGTTTCAGTGACTGGCCAAGGCAGAGCACCAGCCCAGTCTTGACCCCTGTGGGGGAAGGAGCAGATGTCCCCAGTCAAGGAAATCTGTCCCCAGGTAAGGGACAAGCAGAGCCACATTATGACTATGGTGGACTAGAGGCACTTTTGTCTTTGTGAGCCCTTTGTAATCCCAGTTACTCAGGAGGCTGAGGCAGGAGGATCTCAAGTTCAAGCCCAGCCTGGGCAACTTGGGGAGACCCTGGGTGTAGCTCAGTGGTAATGTACACATGAGTTCAGTCCCTGGTACAGCAAAAATTCTACTTTACAAAACAATACCAAGATGGATATATTAATACATTTAGAGATAATAATCATTGAGCTACATCTAAGCCCTTCTTATAGCTGAGGATCTCAAGTTGTTGAGGTTGGTTTCAGACTAATGATACTTCTGTCTCAGCCTCTTGCATTGCCACAATCACAGGCAAGCCCCACACTCTGCCCTCTGGTCCTTCACGTCTTGGTGCTTCACCATTCATTGAAGGACACAGAATCAGGATGGAGAGCATTCATGAATCACATACCCAATAAGGGTCTCATCCAGAATATTAAAAGAACTCTCAACACCTCAAATGACCAAAAAGCAAAAAAAAAACTCAATTTAAAAATGCCTGGCACAATAGCCCACCCTTGTAACCCCAGCAGCTCTGGAGGCCAAGGCAAGTTGAAAGCCAGCCTCTGCAAAAGTGAGGCCCTGTGCAMCTCAGTGAAACCCTAAGTAAAATACAAAATAGGGCTGGGGGTGTGGCTCAGTGGTCAAGTGCCCCTGAGTTAAATCCCTGGTACCCCCCCCACCAAGTTGAGCCAGGTGCTCAGGGCCCTGAAAAAGGAACAAGATGTGAGAGCTGTGGGTGGCCATGGACAGCTGCAGAGGCTCACAGGACATGGAAGCCCAGTCTCATGCTCTAGCCTTCCTGAGCTGGAATTAGAACAAATTTAAAAATAAATAAACAGAACAAATTTATTTTTTTATTTTTTATTTATTTATTTATTTTAAGTGAGAGAGAGAAGAGAGAATTTTTAATATTTTTTAGTTCTCGGCGGACACAACATCTTTGTTGGTATGTGGTGCTGAGGATCGAACCCAGGCCGTACGCATGCCAGGCGAGCGCGCTACCGCTTGAGCCACATCCCCAGCCCAATCAGAACAAATTTAAACATGGACAGCACTTGCTTAGCATGTGTAAGGCCCCAGGTTGGATCCCAAACACTGTAAAACAACAACAAAAAAAGCCAGGCACAATGTCACCTGCTTACACTTCCACCTGCTTGGGTGGTTGAAACAGGAAGGTGACAAGTTAGAGGCCAGCCTTGGCAATTCAGTTAGACCCTGACTATAAATGGGCTGAGGGGGGCTGGGGATGTAGCTCAGTTGGGAGAGTGTTTGCCTCACATGCACAAGCCCCTGGGTTCAATCCCCAGTACCACAGAAAAAACCGCTGAGAGGCTGGGGATGTGGCTCAGTGGTAGGGCACTTGCCTAGCATGTGTGAGCACCACATGTAAATAAATAAAGGTTCATCAACAACTAAAAAAACATCAAGGGTGAGGGCGGCAGGGGATGTAACTCAATGGTGTTACATTGAGGCACTGGGGGCACTTGCTGAATCCCCCGGGTTCCATTCCCCAGAACAGCAAAAGGGAAAAAAATCTCTGTGGAGATTTTTTGCATGTGGAAAGGTGCCCGCCCCTAGTGGCTTCCTGGAAGAGACACTGGTCAAAACCACTTTAAGACAAAGTAGCAGCGGTGCTCGCCCAGTGCTGGGGGAATGTAAAACAGCTGCTTTAGGGAACAGGCAGTTCCTCAAAAGGGGGACCATGTGACTGGGCAGTTCCACCCCAGGGATCTATCCAGGCTAGGATTACTAGATCATGGCCACACAAAAACATGTTTGCAAATGTTCTTGGCAACAGTATTTGTAATAGCCCCAAAGTAGAAACACCCAGCACCTAACACTGATGGATGCTTATTATGTATCTGTGTGCGATGGACATCAGGGATGCTGAGGGGAGCCAGATGCATCCACATGCTGTGTGATCCCATTGCTGTGGAATGCCCATCACAGGCACGTTCATGGAGACAGCAGGCAGATTAGTGGTGGTGACAGCAGCCCGACAGGAAGTGACTGCTGAATGCATAGTGTACGCTTTTGGGGTGATGGCGTTTTGGAACTAGTGGCGATAGCTGCACAACCCTGTGATGATTAAAAACCATCGAACCTGGGCTGGGGATGTGRCTCAAGGGGTAGCGCGCTCGCCTAGAGTGCGTGCGGCCCGGGTTCGATCCTCAGCACCACATACAAACGAAGATGTTGTGTCCGCCGAGAACTAAGAAAAAATAAATAAATGTTAAAATTTCTCTCTCTCTCTCTCTCTCTCTCTCTCTC